ATTTTGGATTATTTGAAAATGTTTAGAGCTATACTTTCAAATATTTTATTGGAGTTGTGTGAAAATCAATTAAAATACTTGGAAAAATATCAAATGATTCAGGATAATCAAAATTGAAAGTGTTACAACTGTGTGAGGAACCCGACAACACTGGCTAGGACCAAGAGCAACCATCCTGTTTTCCAGCCAATCTGTATCATACAATTATATCTATTCTGTTTGCCGCGAAAGAGGCGAGAGCAACTTGGTCGACCCGACCATGGACAATGTTCTTGTTGTTGTTCTCGGTCTGCCCGGGACAAAAAGTTAGTAGATCCCACTGTACACGACCTCACCCCCAAAAAAAAAAACACCCACCGCCCCATTTTTCAACCACCCAGGAGGAGCAACAAACGCACAGTGGTTCAAGCTGTGCAAATATTTAACTGATTTGATTGACAGCTGGCCAGAAATGAAAGTGGAGAAACGGAAAAGTACGTAGACTCCTCAAAAAATTCGATAAACCATCCGCCACTGGAAAAACACGATACAATGGAAATTGGGAGTTGGTTACTTAAGAAATAGTTCAAACCATTGTTCTCGGTCTATATTTGGGACTTAAACATTTGCTCACCGAATAGATAAAATCAATAAAGTGCTAAGTAGGTAACCACTACTGATTCCTATGGTAGTCTCTTTATATCAATTTGTTTACCTTTGTATGAAATTTAAAAACATTTTGTCACGGGTTTTTGTAGCAGATAAACACTAAAATAACAATTGCTTTTTGATAGTATTGAACATAAGCTTGGAACATTTGATTTCAAAACCTTTTTTAAATTATATCAATATATAAATGAAGTTTCCCATTGAAATTCATCATAAGTAAATGATTTTATTCCAATTTGAACTTTTTACCTTTAAGCAATTATTCGGTTAATGTGACCAGCCTTAAATATCCTCCAATGTAAACATAACGCTTATAATTCTCAACCAGTTTGTGCAGAGCTTTTGATTGTATTGTTTTTTTTTTTGCCAACTCCCGGCCAATGTGCATCATCCATTGACAGCGCAGTTCTGGCCCGCTTTTGTGTATGTGCTTATTACAGTTATTTTTGGAAGGCAACACACACTAGCACACAAACACAGACACACACCCACACGGGCTGTGTAAGCTTTTGTTTGAGCATGTGTATGTGTAAGTGTGAGTGTGGTCTGTGTACATTTTGAGTTATGTATTCCGAATGTTGTTAATGCTTTGGCTATATGCAGGTTACATACGAACAGCCAACAGCCAACAATAGGGGAATATATTATAATAACCACCCAATACTGCCCTAAACTAAAGCCCAGTTTACTCAGTGGGGTTGGGGTATTTCGCAGGGACCTTCGTTCCCACTTACCGTGTATTGGTATTCTATCGTCGGGACTAGACATTTTGCATATGGAATTTGGGGAGGGCGAAACCTGCAACAAATCAGAAAATCAAATTAAACAATATGCCAAAAAATGTATGTTAACAATTTTAACAAGGACTTAAAACTTCTATCAATACAAACACTTGGTTTCGCTTGATTAATGGTTTGTATAAATGTAGATTCATTATTGTTTTAAAATGTAATGTCTTTGTTAGTTAAGCAAATGCACAAAAAAAATTTGGAAAACCCAGTACTTTCAGTACAACTTCAAAACTAAAAGATTAATTTAATCTTCATTTTTTGGTTCTGAGTCATTCTGAAAGAAATCTTTACCCATGGGGAAATGCCGGACTTCCTTAAAAACAAACAACAAATTGCATATATATTTCTGTGTACGTATATTTGCAATATGAATGATTCCAACAGCCCTGAAAACGAAAATTTCATTCAAAACAATTCGTGAAAACAGATAAACAAGAAAAAAAAACCGAATAACAAGTCTCTGATAAGGCAAGAATTTTTGGAAAATTTTTGTTGTCATTTTCGGAACACCGATAATGATATGCAAAAATAAACTCTTGTTTCTTTCTTTCATGTTTTTCGATTGTTTATAGTCAAGAGCATTTGATAGGGAAATTTTTTACTGATCGGATACAATTTGAATGTTCTTTTCAGGTGCGCCTTTTTTTGGGGGCGTGGCAAAAACAAAAAGATAAAGAGTTGCCCCATTGACCTTCGCACACACCACACACATGTGACGCACAAAACAATTTCCGTTCACTAATTACACGAGCAAATAGAACAAAAGCGACCAACAAACAGAAATTCAAATGGCAGACATTGCATTGTAAATAAATTGCCTCCAAATCGCTTCAAATTCAATACAAAATCCTTTAACTATACTCTTCAATAATTCAAGTAATTAATTGTTAAAAGTTCCTTGCAATCAAAGAAATAACTTGATCAGACAATAGGAAAAACAATTATAAAAATGTTATTTTCATTCAGTTTGTCAAGAATACTGTTGTTTAAACTTTAAAGACATAGTTCGCGAGGAAGTCAAAACATGTGCTGTGAAAGCCAACATCTAATTAAAAAGGGGAATTTTTATTCACAAAGAAATCCTAGTGTAAAACAATGAATCATAAAGAATGGAAAAACAATACTAGGTTTTGAGGGAATTGAGGTTTTCTTTGGGAATTTACCAATTCTAAACAAAAACAGTTCCATGACTTCAAAAGATCAATTAAGAGTAAATAAGACAGTCTTCAATTAGATTTATTTACTAAGGTTTGCTACATAAGAGAAAAAGAAAAGGAAGGTCACACCGAATATGAGATTAAAAATATGCTATTAATAATATTAAAGTGAGTGTGGCCACATCCCAATATGAATCACGTGATAACAAACAAATAAATTGATACTAATACACGCTTCAACCTGTTGCTAATAGTTTTCACATTTTAATTTAATAATATAATTTCCACGTTGTAATAAATTCAATGCAAGATGGAAACTTTCCTAGCTTTAATTTTTGGATGGAAATAAACAAATTAAGTCTAGGGGCGGAGGGTGACTAGAAGATTGAGTTGGCAGCCACTATTTATCGTGGCGAGTCATATTAATTATAGTCATCAGTGGGCTGCATTGTGAGCTAGAAATGCGTGTTTTCCACTAAGACGACACAAGCTACGAACTGCGTTGTAAAATAGTTCAAAACATAAATTAAAAAAATATATACAGTGAACAAATTGCCATTTAAAATGATTAACGATCCTGGTTTCAGGTTCTCAGTTCCAAGACTCTAATACATCCCAAAGGGTTGCTTTTATATCTGACCTATTTTCAATTAAATTTATGACACAGTGGGACCTTTAACAGGAAACCCGTTTTACCGTTTAATGGAGCAGTAAGTAAAATATGTAAATATAATAATGTACAGGCTAAACGAATATATAAGGACAATAAACTTAATATGAAATGCGTTGTCATTCTCAAGAATTCTCTCGCCAAGATTCTAAAAGAAACTACTTTGCTTGAATCATAAATTAAATAGGTTGAATAATTTGGACAATTAAATGAATGGCCACTGTAGTTGAATAAATGGATAAAAAGCAGGGAAGAGAGGGAAACCACGAGAACAGAGATCCCCCAGAAGAATAAGAAGTTCGGCTCAAAGCGAACGAAAAAAACAACAAAATATCCGCGAATTCCATTCTGTTGCTGCGCTGCCACGCCGCTGCTTTGCTGTTGTTGTTGTTTGTTACTGTTTTTTTCTGGCATCATGTTGATAACCAAGAGAGAAGATGAAGAGGCAAGTAAGGCGGAGAGGAGAAGCAGAAGAAGCGAGCACAACATAAACCAGTTCAATGCGCTTTGTGGTGGAGCTTTTATTATTTATTTTTGCTTCTTTTTCTTTTTGTGTTTTTTTTTTTTGGGTGGCAGCCACATTTACAGCAACTTTACTAAGTGAACAAAATCAAATCATCAAATGCAAAGAGCGAGAGAGAGGGAGAGAGCAACAAATAGAGTGGAAGAGAGGAGAAGGAGGAGGTGGAGAGCGAGAGCACTTCATTTAGCACGCACACACTTGTTACATAAATAACGGCGAATCGAGTGAGAAGCAAAACAGACGAAAAAGAAGTCTGACTGATCTAATAAGAATATGATGTCTTATAAGAACACACGGGGCAGGACAAGCAAACAAACAAACATAAATACCTCTTCCAAGTGGTGCAAACTGCTTGCTGATGCTTATTGTTGTTGCTGCCGTTGACGTATTTTGTATAGTCGCTTTTCCAACTTGTTCCACAAAATGCGAAAAATGATTAACGAAAATATAAAATAAATAACGCACGCTCTCTTTCTCACTTTGCGTATGTGTGTATGTATATACTGTACGATGAATTCACGACTTTTTTAAGTTAATTTTTGTGTTGTTGTTATTACTGCCTTTTTTGTGGACGTATATTTTTGCGCTCTTTTTTCGACTTTTTGCTTGTTACCTTCTTTTGCTTTTCTCTTTCGTTACTTGTTGTTGTTGTCACTTCACAAGCAGTTTTCGCAGTTTCTTTTTGGTACTAGTACTACGACAACTGCCTCTGCTTTTGCCTCTTCTCCTCATCATCGCTCATTCTCTTTTGCTTGTTGATTCGCCCACAATTTTACGATTTTTTCTCGTTACTGCACGCGCACGCACTTCTTGTTGTTGATGTGTTGATATTTCAAAAAATTAGATTTTATTGTTGAGTGTGACGGAGAAAAACAGAAAAAAAAAACAAGAAAATACTCTGTTTGAATTTTCGGGTTTTTATTTTGGGAAAACGCGCGACGTTGGACTTCCTGGGAGCGACGCAAAAAAAAATACAAATTCCAATCAGTGTTACCAGATAGCGAAGAGCAAGTCTCCTCGAGAAACCCTAAATTTCCTAAAAAATCCAGCTCACCTAGGTTGGCATTTCCGTCAAAGTTAGCAAATGGAACCACCCTAATTAGCAAAGACTCATACCGACCCGAGCGAATACATCCACCAGTCGCAACATGTGTCGATAGTATCGATAAGCTATCGATATATCAACCATCTCAATGGCTTGGTCTTCACATCTCTAGCTTGTTATTGTTTACAGTGGGTTTTTTGTTCCTTGGTTGGTGGCCAAAACGCGCAACGTGGACGTGGTTTTTAAAGCGAGTAGAGCAGTTTAGAGCATAGCTCACGGCGCACTGCTGTCTCCACCCCCACTTTTCTGCCCCGCCCCCACCAAAAAGAAAAACACCTGTGCTCCCGTCACGCCATCAAGTGTACTTCACTTTTTAGTTCTTGGGAGGGAGGCTTTCTCACAAGACAGCATCTGCTTATCTGGTTAGCGATCTGATGATCTGGCAAACCGACAACGGCACACACAACACATCACACACAAACCGTGAGGCGAGCGATCCATGAGCGAGGCAAAGATGAACGGACGCTCCATACGCATCAACCGGCTGCCGGCGACCATCGTCGCCATCCTGCTGACCATTTTCCTGGTCTACTTCCTCAATTTCCACCAGGACGAACGACCCGCCATCTATGGAATGCTGCGGAGCGATAACCCGAATCGAGTTAATCTGCGCAAGATGCTGATTGCCGCCATCCAGGCGGCGCAACGTGGCGGAGTCGAGGTCCTCGATGTGGCGCGCAGTCGCCAGCTGAAGGAGCGCAGCAAGGGCAAGACGGACGAGGGCGTCAACGATCCCTTCACCGACGCCGACGGCCGGTCGCACTGCGTAATGAAGCAGGGCCTGCAGCGGATCTTCCCGCGCGTCCAGATCTTCTCCGAGGAGGACAAGGAGCACTGCAAGCAGGCGCACAGCTATGATCTCGATCCCACGGTCCTCCACGAAACCGCACAGATTCCCGACGTGGCCGTGAATGCCCAGGATGTCACCGTTTGGGTGGATCCACTAGACGCCACCAAGGAGTTCACAGGTGAGCATTTTTTGCCAGTGGTGTGTTTTGGCCTAATTTTAAAGCTGATTAAACATTTTATTTCGATTTGACTGTTTATAAACTGACGTTAGTTTCACAAATAATTACTAATTTTGCTAGAAGAATTCTGTCAGTTTTAACCTTTTTTATTTTCTTTATAACAGGGCTTTTTAAAATAGGTTAATATTTTTGTTTTAATTAAAACTGTTGAAGCTGGTCTTATCAGTTGAGTTGCATTTAAATAAAATGAGATTGAGATAGTGTAAAATCGCGCAATGTTATGACCGCAATAGGCACAAACATCTTCTTATTAATCTCATGATAATTGTATTAAATTTTCATTTTTCTATTGGTATTTATAGCAATACATTTAATAGTAATAGTAATACATTTATTAACTTTAATTTAAGTTGAATAACTTCTTAAATCGTTATTTAACCCATAAACTTTACTTTTACTCCGATCCGCAGAGGAGCTGTACGAGTACGTGACCACAATGGTGTGCGTGGCGGTGGCGGGAAGACCCATCATCGGCGTGATCCACAGTCCGTTCAACGGACAGACGGCGTGGGCGTGGGTGGGCAACTCGATGTCGGAGTACCTGGCCAATCTGCATCCGGAACACCCGCCGGAGAACCAGTCGCCGATCATCACAGTATCGCGATCGCATACGGCGGGTGCCAAGGATTTGGCGCGCGGCATCTTCGGCGAGGATGTCAATCTGCTGACGGCAGCTGGAGCCGGTTACAAGGTGCTCCAGGTGGTGGCCAACAATGCGACCGCCTATCTGCACACCTCCAAGATCAAGAAGTGGGACATCTGCGCCGGCGATGCCATTCTGCACGCATTGGGCGGCACAATGACCACGCTGAACGACCAGTTGATCAACTACGGACCGGATGAGTCGCCCGTGAATACGGACGGCCTGCTGGCCACTCTCGAGCGGCACGACGAGTACATGGACAAGCTGTCCAAGTATCGGGCGGCGCACAATGGCAAGCTGGCGTAGGGGTTAGCCCTTGGTTCCCCACTCCGAGTGGAAACTCCTCACCTCCCTCCCTCCACCCACTGATCGTTTAGGCAGCATTCAAGAATAGCTCTAAGTTCTAAAGAAGGAAACCTGTTTTTTTCGTAATCTCATATATCTCTGTTTGTTCGCGTGTGCTTCTCTTTTTTTGCATAATTACGTTGGTTGTGCGGCGGCGCAAAGGGTCGTGAACCCGGACCGAAACAAACCGCCCAGTTGGCTCAAAATAAACTTACTTTAAATTGTACAGGGTGTTGACTTCAAATGGATATTAGGAATTGGGTGTTTTTAGTTGGAGCAGAGTAATACATTGATACACTTTGGCCTCTTCAGGTCTCAAGTAATGAATTATTTTATTCAATTATAAAATTCTTTCTCTGAAAATTCTGCAGATTTTCTTTTGCGCTTTGGAGGAGTCGTTTTCTTAAAAATAACATATGTTTTGGTGCCGAATGATTTGATTAAATATTGTGTCCATTTTCCATAAGTTTAATTCCTTAAAATGAATAACGTTTTTTTAACGTTTGAATTAACCGAACTATCGATACTTATAATAAAGACAACTATCGATATGATCGAACTAACAAGAACCAAATGTCCACCGCCATTAAAAATCAGAACCTTTGAAACATAGGGTCACACTTTTTTGTATAAACTAAAAAAAACGGAGTGTGTTGTGTATTGTTGTTGTTTATTATGCGTTTGTTTGGTCCGGAAATTGTTAATTAAATGTGAATACTCCTTGCACGGCATGTAATCCAATCGAATCGATCGATATGGGCGGCCAAACGAACGAGGGGCGTGGAGATCGCCCCCTCCTCCACCGCTGCCCCGCCTCTTCCTCCTCCCCGTGTTGTTGTTCTTTTTGTTCCTCACGCTGACGTCGACCGCGACTGCGACTGCGGCGTCGACGGCGGCAGAGGGTCAGGTGCATTCGAATCCGGAAAATCAGCTACAAAATCCGGAATCAACCATCTCCGGATCGAGTACATCATGCCCACGGAAGTGCAGTTGCCGGAATATATCGGAAAACATACACAGCCTCAAGATTCGCTGCGACGAGCAGCAGATAACCAACTGGCGGGAATTGGATTTCGGGGAGGATGTGACCAGTATTGTCAGCATGTAAGTGGTGCTACATATCCAGATTTAAATCGGCAATAACTCTTTCCTTTTTTTTTTTTAGCAATGCCAGTAAAAACTCCATTGCCTCGATTACCGCCGATGATTTCCGAAACTTTACGGAACTCAAGCGTTTGGATCTGTCGTTTAATCTACTCACTGAACTGGACAAGGATACCTTCGGCCATAGTCTGGCCCATGTGGAGAAGCTGAAGCTGGCCGGGAATGCCATAAGCCATATATATGAAGGCACCTTCGATCATATGCACAAACTCAAGCAGCTGTAAGTGAAGTACTTAGAACTTCTGTATAAGTAATTTCTTCATTTGCAAGAGAACCTACGGCTAATGCGCTATTTTAATGTTTTGATCAAGAAGTATGCCTTTTTATAGTACAAATAAGGCTAAAAAACTAAAACATTAAACAGTTTTAAATTACTAAACTATGTTTTGCAGTAAACCAATATAACTCAACTTATTGTTTCCTTTTCCATCCTCAGCGACCTGTCTGGAAATCCGTTGGCCTGCGATTGCGGTTTGATCTGGTTGATTGCCTGGTCCAATGCCCGGGATGTGCGCCTCCAACCGCCACCGAAATGCGATTCCCCGGGCAACTTTCGCGGGATGCCGCTGAAGAAGCTGCGCGTGGGAAAAGACTTCCATTGCGAGACGCTGCTGCAGCCGCTGCTCGAGCTGATTCCCAGCCAGAATCAGGTGGCCTTCGAGGGCGACGAGCTGCAGCTGAAGTGCTACGCGCCACGGGTGGCCATTGGAGTGCCCAGGGAGAGCGAAGATCTGCCCACGAAGGCGTACGTCTTTTGGGGCTGGTCGGATAAGATACGGGCCAAGAACTCCACGGAGGATATCATTTACCAGGATCCCGCAAAGGTCTTCGGCGATGTGAACCTGGAGACGCGCCACTCCACGGACTCGGGCATCCTGCAGTCGATCCTCCGCATCGCCAGCCTCACCCAGAATCACACGGGCATGTGGGACTGCACGCTGCGCAGCCAGCAGGCGAATCTCTCGCAGGCCATCGTCCTGCATGTGGTGGCCAAGGGCACGCTCTACTGCGAGGCGCGCGTGGTGCACACCAACAAGGGCACCTACCACTGGCCGCGAACGATGCGCGGCGAAACGGTGCTGCAGGAGTGCGTCGAGGAGCCCAGCGACGCCACCCAATCCCGGCGAGCTTCGCACGAGTGCGGCCCCTCTGGCGAGTGGCTCAACTTGGACACGGAAAGTTGTGTGTACGTCAGCGAAACCACGCGCATCCTCGAGCAGTTTGCCAAGGTGAATCTGACGCTGACGAAGGGTCAGAATGCCCTCGAGATTGCCCGGCGTTTGCACAACTTCACGCAGGCACAAACGCAGCTGAACCGCATCCGGGATCCGATGGACTTGGAGTACATAGCCCGCACTTTGGTCAAGTACTTGGATCAGCTGGAGCAGCCGCAGCAGCAGCAGGAGATCAGTCACCTGCTGATGGACATCGTGTCGCAGCTGTTGAACCTGCCGGCGCACCTCTTTCGGGCCGCTCAATCCGAACAGGGAACGGGTCAACGGTTGCTCCACGTCGTCGAATCCTCGGCGATGCGTCTGGCCCTGGCCAGCACACAAGCGGAACCGCTGCCCGCGGAGATGATTCCCTGGCGCGGATCGCTGGCCCAGCAGCGGAATCTCTTCGTGGAGTTCTTCAACATCAGCCTGGATGCCTTCGTCAGTCTGTCGTGCGTTTGGCTGGAGCAGAGTCCGCGTGGATTCCAGTGCAATAGCGCAAACGACACGATTCCCATGTACGAACACGGCGACATCGATGCCGCCATTCAGTTGCCGTACAGCGTGATTGGAAATGGTTCCACCACCAGTTCTACGCAGTCGATTCGCAGTCTCCGCCTGATGATATCGCTGCACCGGAATGGCAAGCTGCTGCCCAATCTGCGTGGCAGCCACAACGAGTCCCTGTCGTCGGCGATCATTGGCATTCTGGCCTACAGCAGCGAAGGCGAGGCGATGCAGTTTCGGGCGGAGAACGAGCTGGATCCCGAGGAGGATGTCTACCAGCAGAGGGTGACGGTGATGCTCAGAGCTCATCCGTACCACAATCCACTGAGTGCACCGCAGCCCGCCTGGTGGGATGCCGAGGAGCAGCGCTGGGAGCCGAGTGTCTGCCAGCAGCACTACCAGCATCGCACCCTGGTGATGTTCAGCTGCAGTCGCACTGGCTACTACGGCCTGCTGCAGCGGAGTCGCTACTTGAACGACTTCCGGAGCGAGGAGTCGGGCGCCCGGTTTCGTCATCCGCCGGCTGCCGTTTACGCGGGATGCGGCCTGCTCTTCGCCTGCTGCGCCTTCAATGCGGTCACCTTTGCCGTCTTCGGCAGGGCAGTAAGGATCAATCGGGTGCAGCGGCATGCTCTGGTGAACACCTGGCTGGCACTCGGAGCTCTGGCCTTGGCCTTCTCGCTGGGCATCTATCAGACGGCCAGCCAGCCGCAGTGCAGACTGCTGGGACTGCTGATGCATTACCTGGGACTGTGCGTGCTGCTTTGGGTTTGCGTGAGCTTGAGCAGCATGTACAAGCGGCTGACGAAGACGACGACGTCGTCGGGACAGGCGCAGTGCCAGGGACAGGAGATGGAGCCGCAGCGGGAGAGGGAACGCAAGCCCATCCTCGGCATCTACCTGGTGGGATGGGGCATCGCCCTGCTCATTTGCGGCATCAGCAGCGCTGTGAATCTGGCGGAATATGCCACCTACGACTTTTGTTTCCTGCACAGCGCCACCACCTTGAATGCTCTGCTCGTGCCAGCCGTGATCCTGGTCATCTTCTGTGGGATCCTGGCGCTGTGCATCTACTACCAGCTGAGTCAGCAGGCGGTGAATGTGCTGCAGCTGCAGATGCAACAGCAGCAGCATCGCCAGTACTCGGACAACAACACGCAGGCCACGGAGCACATCGATCTGGACTGGCTGGATGCCAATGGCAGTGCGACGACGGCGGCCTTGGGTGGCGGTCGCAAGGAGCAGGATCACATGCAGGAGCAGTACAGCACGCTGAGTAACCCCTTGAGCAGCATTGTGGATGACTTTGAGCGATCGAATCTCTCCCACTTGAGGGGTCACTTTATATTTCTAATCCTGTACGCCGGCGCCTGGTTGTCCGCTGCTGCGTATATAACCAATGGCCAGGAGCTGTACGTGCTGTGCTTCGCCGGCTGCTGTTCGTGCCTGGGCATCTTCCTGCTGATCTTCTACAACCTGAGCAGGAACGATGCGCGGCAGGCGTGGTCGCAGGGCAGGAGATCGCAGGGCAGACCCGCCAAGCTGGTCACCTACAACAATGGCAGCCAGGCGAGGGGCACCCTGCCAGCGGGAATGATGCCGGGACCGGGAACAGCGATGATCAGCAACTCCATAGTGGCCTACAAGGCGAATCCCGGTCCGGGCAGCCTCTACGAGGCCAACAACTCGGCGGGATCGCGATCGAACAGCCAGTGTTCGCGGAGCATGCGCAGCCAAACCAGAAGCCAGACGCGGAGTCAGCAGGAGCAGTTGCTCCAGGCGAACGGAGCGGGCGGAGTGACCATCATAAACAACACAAGTGGACAGCAGGGAGCAGCGGCAGCAGCTGGCGGGGTAACTGGCGCCGGAGGAGGTGGAGGAGCAGGTGGTGGAGCTGTGCCACCGCATAGCCTGAATGCACTGCTCCATGGATCCAGTCACGACCTGATACCCTCGGCGGAGATCTTCTACAACCCCAATCAGATTAATGTGGCGCGCAAGTTCTTCAAGAAGCAGAAGCGCCTGGCCAAGCGCAACAACTTCGAGCTGCAGCGGCAGACGATGCCGCAGATGCAGCTCCAGATGCAGATGCAGATGCAGCTGCACAGCCAGCACAGCTTGAGCGACGCCAGCTCGGAGCAGCTGTACAGCCGGCACCACAATGCGATGACTCTTCTGGCCGGAGGCAGCAAGATCAACAACACGAACCTGCACTACAAGCACCAGGGATCCCCGATGGCCGGGGGGCCCAAGGAGCACGCTTCTGGCGGGGATTCGATGCAGTTCAAGCGCTTTGTGCCCGCCAGCGCCTCCTCGGCTAGCAAGATCATGCAGGCCAATATCTACACCAACATCCCGGAGACCCTAACTCCCCAGCACGAGGTGATCAAGCTGCGGGCCAATGGAAGGACGCGGACACCTTCGCTGCTGGACGAAACGCTGCACGAGCAGGACGACGACGAGGAGGAGGAGGAGGCGGAGGAGGAGGAGGAGCGTGTCCAGCCCATGGCCACGGCAATGGTCGAGGAACCCGAACCGGAACTGGAGGACGAGGATGCCAGCTCCCTGGATGAGCACGCCCCGCTGTATGCCAACACCTTACCGCCGGCGAGCGGAATGAGCAGTCTGTTCCGCAACCGAGGAGGAGGAGGAGGCGGTGGACACCAACCCATTAGCGCTTCCACGCCCGTCAAGCAACCCAGCCTGGAGGCCATGAACAGTCTGGGTCTGCCGGAGGTCAGCCTCGAGGAGCCGCTGCTGCAGAAGCACGAGATCTACGTGTCCAACTCGCTGCAGGTGACCACCAGCAACAGCATCCAGCTGGACGACGACTTCCCCAGCGTGCTCATTCGCTTCAGCCAGCAGCAGCAGTCCAAGTCGCTGAACAACATCAGTGAGATGCTGGCTGGCGCCACTCCCTCTGGGTTGGACAGCCTGGAGGAGTCTGGCGGTGAGTCCGGCGGTGGCCAGCTGTCTGGCAAGGAGGCCAGCACGCTGGAGGAGCAGCAGTTGCAGCAGCAGCAATTGCGACAGGTTTACTCCTGTTCGAGCAGCAATCTCAGCCAGCTGAAGGGTCATCATCATCATCCGGCCACCTCGGTGGACGCGGAGGACGATGGTCGACTGCTGTCCGGGAGTCCGACGAACGAGAGCGATCTGAACTACCAGAACTCGGAGATCAGCATACGCAGTCATGGACTGTACGCTCCCCAGGCGGACAACGATCTGAATCTGACGCTAACCGATGACTTCCGCTGCTACCAATCCTCGAATGCCAGCGATGCGGATGTGGATGTCCTCAACGAGTTCGACGATGAGTTTGTGGCCGCCACTGGTGGCGAGCGGGTGGCCGGGGATGTGGTGGAGGATCATCACCACGATCACGACCAGGACACCTCCATCGATGAGCTGTACGAGGCGATCAAGTGCCGCAGTCCGTTGAGGAGCAAACAGGAGCAGCAGACGACCACCGTCGAGCGCTTCGAGAGAGAAAGGGAGCGCGAACGCGAGAAAGAGATGGAGATGGAGATGGAAATGGAGGCCAAGCAGATGAGCAATTCCCACAACGAAAATCTCAACGAGACGATCGAGGACGACAGCAGCCAGAGCAGCGTGATCTCGTACATCGATCCCCGGGCGGCCAACGAGGCGCCACGCCCCTTTCCCAGCTAGCTCAGCCCGACCGTAGTTAGATGTATATAGAATATATACAAGATGTATAACCAGATGAAAGCCCAACCCACCAACCCACCCGCTTGGCCGGCCAACGAAATATTCGCGCGCCAATGCCAAAGTATTCCTCCAACTATTTTTTGTACCCAACCCACTGACACTCCCCGATCTATATATATATATATATATATTTGAATATATATATTTTGGGAGTGCTTATATCCTAAGTTCATCCACTCAGCAAACCAGCTAAACAACACGAACTTGTAATTATAGTAAGGCCCTTCCCCTATTTATTCTGACTAGTATTACTCCACTTCACACACTCACCACGGAGCCAACTTCATCCCACTCATCCAATTAGCTGGTCACTAGGCTAGATCGTTCTGCATTTCATCATCAATGACTCGGAATCGGAATCGGAATCACCGCACCCGAAACGCAAGTCCTACACGCATTTGATAAGTTTTAAATTTTGGTAAAGCAAAATGCATTTAAACGTAGGCTAAGTTTATATTTAGATATAAATAAATGAAATGTTCACTTAAATATCCCGCTCTTTTATGATGTTTCTATTCCCCAGATGATCCAAACACTTTGAAGTCACTTTATCAAGAGTTTATAAAGAGATTACAAATGTTGCATTTATTTCGAGGACAGACACTGAACACATTCAACAAACTACTTGTAAAGTAGATACGATTTATAATAGCAATTCGATCATAATAATACAATGATATCTGTTCAACATCGTCATGGAGTGTGAGTGAGGAATGCTGATTATCTCCGCAAAGATAATGCCACCTTCCAACTCTGAATAGAGTATACAACATGTAAAGTAACGCAGAGTTGGACAGTAACATTATCATTATAACCAGTTTGATTAGCGTTAGAGGTTTAATCTTAAAGTGTAACAATAACAAGAGATGTGTATAAACTATAATAAGATAATACGATATTGCTGATGCCTGGCAGGAGCAGGAGGTCTATCCCGCTCCACTGGGCGCGTTGTGCATGTTTCTCATGGCAATTCTCACTCCGGTTAGGTGATTCCCCCCCGACATCCAGAGATTCACAAGCTGCGTATGGACTTCCAGCGTCGCAGTAACAAACACGACGAGGTCAACCCACTGGAGTATTGGCTAAATTCGCTTATATCTATGTTGCGTGTTGGAATGTCGATTTTCTCTTTTAAAGTCTGTTACAAACAAAAATAAACAGAGCAATCAATTAGTTATGGGTTCAATTCAAATGGCAAAAGTGTCAATTGCTGACCTTGTAGGCTACTGGAATTTCTGCCGGCGATCTGTGGACGATCGTTCCGTTGATGTACAGCATATTGGCCGCACTCTCCTCGGGCAGCGTCAGCTTTTGGTAGGTGAAGCTCGCCTCCCGCTCCATACGCTTCACGATCTCCTGGCAGGTGGGGCTACTGCTCACGCACAATACATCCGGTCCGGCCATGGTCACGTAGTATTTCAGCCTCTTGGTACCATTCACCTAAAGGGGGATAGTATCCATTATTAATTCTATGTGCAACAATAGGTTGGACACAAATGAAACGTGAGGATTAATAATTACAGAACGATTTAAAAAAGAATATAAACAAAATTGAACTTAAGTGAGAGAACCCTTAAACAAGAGGTTATAAAAGGACTTGCTTGTGTAAATATTAGTTTAATTAACTTATTTATTTGTTATACCCGAATCGGCGTGACAGGATACTCTGGATAGGCCATGGCCACCGCCCGAGCGCCCTCTTCATTCGTAAAACCGGATATTCCAATAAAGAATTCCCGCCCTGAAATTATAACACTTCTAGAATCAAGAAACCAAAGGAATTTATCCACCGAATCGTACCCGTAAATAGAACATCGCCGCCATCGAGCAGCGCATGCGGATCTTCGATCTCGATGACCGGAATGTCCAGCTCCTTTTTAAGGATTATGGCCATGCTCTCGGCCTCGCGGCGTCGCTTGGCGTGCTCCGATCTGCCAATCAAGGCCACTCCATTGCAGATCACCGCACTGTTCTCCACGAAGACGCCCTCGGGCAGCTGGTCGTCCGGCGGCAGCTCGATCACATCCAAGCCAATGGTCCGCAGCAGGGTGCAGTACTGCTCGTGCTGCTGCTTCGCCAACTGCACGTCAAACTCCCCGTTCTCCAGCAGGGCATCCGAGATTCTACGGCGGATTTAAAGCGATTAACAATGGGCTTATTGAATGAGATTCAGGGGATGTACGCACAAGTGTGTCTGAGTGGTTAAATGGAGGAATTATGTACATGGAAATGCTTGTTTAAATCTATTTAGTGGTATTAGGCCTACATAAATGACTATTGAAGCCGTAAGTACTACTTAAACTTTACTTTTAGGCCTGAGTCGCTTCTAATTCGTTTGGGTGCCTAACTAGTCGCTTCGGAATTAGTTTCAATTGAATACTTAGATCAGGGTTATATGAAGAGCTGGGGAATATTGCTTCTACGATTTGTAACCTATTTTTGTAAATAATTCTGAGGTCACTACTTTTATAAAAACTGAGAAGTCAAAACGCTTAACCCGCCTTATTAGCACATCAAATTGGAGGAAAACTACTTCATTACCATAAACATTTGGATGAGTTTGTTGCCAAACACTAATTAAAAGTGCGAATAAATTAAAAACCGAATGTGCTATATTCGAGTCTATATCCTGGACCAAGTTTCCTGGGAATTGGGTGGTTGGGAGGTAGGTGGAGCCCCACCCACTGCATGTGTACCCACGAACGATTGGCTGGGTGACCTAATTCCCCGCCACTGGGGCACTCCCACCTCCTTCGATTTCCGGGGGATCAGGACTTCACTCACCTGGCCACAATCGCGTGCGTGTACTTGGGCGACATGGTCGGAGGATCGGATCGGATTGGCCACTGGGTGCTCTTCCTCGGCGGCGGAATGCAAGATGCGGATGCAAATATGCGGATTCGGATTGGATTCAGTTGGGCTTAGTGTGACCTCGTTGCGAATGCCAATAAATAAATTTCTTAAAAGTTCGGTCACTTTAATATACACGAAACTTTTATTTCTTTGCAATTCGCTAAGTTTATCTTAAAACTATAAAAGAACATTTTTAGCACTGCTTATAATAATTACATAAATGCCATAAGGCTCACATAAGAAATTGTACGGAATAGTCATATGCAAAATATAATTTGAAATGTTTGGTACTGAAAAATTTACTGTGGTCAACCAAATTTTAACAAGAACATTTCTTTACTGTAATTTTAATAGAAGATATAAATTGATTAGTTAAAATTGTTCATCTATACATAAAAAAAATGGTAATAATTTGGAATTCCCAAAATATAATTCTCAAAAATATTATGAAATTATAAGTCCGTGACTCGCGGTATGCGGTCACGACAAATAATGTGACCTTAAAAATAGCCCACTCTAGTGTTATCGATAGCGCACCGATAATGTCAGCTAACGCATACACATCGCCAATTTGGGCATTTTCTCGCACGTAAATTGCAAAAAGTGCATGCATTTTCCGCGATTTCCCGCGCGCAAAGACCTCCGGCAGCCATAAAATTAATGTTCCCAGTTCAGAGAGACCATTAGGCATGGACGAAGGTGAGTACAATTGATGGGGTCCAATCCCTAAGTGAGTTTTACACTGATGCCTTTCTGGCGCAGATTATTCGGCGTCATCTTCGGCCGGCGGCGGCGGTGGCAAGAAAACCGGCGTGGGCAAGCAGCACAACACGCTGCCGTTTTGGGGCAACGAGACCTCGATGAACCTGAACCCCCTGATCTTGGCCAACATCCAGAGCTCCAGTTACTTTAAAGGTGGGTAGAGGTTGTCTCTTCGCTTCTCCCTACAAGATTAACCCGCCTTTTTTCTTTTTTTTCTATCGGCGCAGTTCACTTGTTCAAGCTGAAAACCTATCACGAGGTAGTCGATGAGATCTACTATCAGGTGAAGCACATGGAGCCCTGGGAACGAGGATCCCGCAAAACGTCCGGACAGACGGGCATGTGCGGCGGTGTGAGTGGTTTATGAAATGTAGCGCTAATCGTTGGCGATGCTTGTATATAACCCCCGATCTATTTACTCATTTGTATACCCTTAATCTTATCCAGGTGCGCGGCGTTGGCGCCGGCGGAATCGTGTCCACGGCGTACTGCCTGCTTTACAAGCTCTACACGCTGCGACTGACCCGAAAGCAGATCAACGGACTGCTCAACCACACAGACTCGGCCTACATCCGGGCACTAGGTAGGTGTTGGTAAGTCGCATGAGTTCAGCCACAGTCACATATGCCGTCGCTTGCTCCTGCTTCCTCAGCACACCAAAACCAAACCAAACCATGCCAAACCAAAGCAAACCACATCACCCCAAAACGAAAGAAAAACAACTAGGGTGGGTCGATTTCGACGGTTGCGAGTTATTATAGAATGGTGGAAGGTATTCTATGGATTAAACAACAAGCCTGTTTCAGTTCAAATTTCAAGTTGTATGCCTTCTCCATTTGCAAAGCGAGAAACGAGTAGAGGACCTGGCATCTCTTCACATCTGCCTGCGAAGGTAAACCTAATCCAACTTGTTATCAAGTATCACGATAACCTTCATTCCATGTTTATTCCAAGCATGCAAAGAGTAACTCAAATAATTTCATCATATTCTTGTTTTTTAAGACCTTGCCTTTTTTGAAATACTAAAATTCAATTAAAAGTTGAAGAAAATCTGCAAACGTAAACTCTAAAAAACATGCCATTGTTCGTTGTACATTTATACCAGATCAGAAGGTTATTTTGTAACTGCCTTTAAATTTGTCCCGTTAAAAAACAAAGTTTGAAAAGCATGAACTCAGGAAATCTATTTAAACTCATATATAATATTGATTTTAAAATTGTGACAATTGAATGGTTCTTGTTTTGTCAGAAAGAACTAACGTCCAAATGCCAATTTTATTGAATTCATTGGCTTAAGTAAAAGACTTATATTTGTTTAAAGTTTAAACAAAATCGAATTATATCCGAGCCGTCAAGCAAATCGAACCACCCTACCAAAAAAAAAAAAGCACACCTCCCCCTTTTTGGCCAAAATAAACCTTTAAAAAAACAATTCTAATCCCGAGTGTATACTTTTATTTCTCTGTCACGCAGGCTTCATGTACCTGCGATACACGCAGCCACCAAGTGACCTGTACGACTGGTACGAGGACTATCTGCAGGACGAGGAGGAGATCGACGTTAAGGCGGGCGGCGGCCAGGTGAGTCAACTGTATGAGCCACCAATCACACGTACCCCCTCATCTCCTCGAGAGCAATACCCAATTACTAACTGCGATTCTTTCAGGTACTGACCATCGGGCAGATGGTTTACCAGTTCATGACCAAGCTGGACTGGTTCTCCACGCTCTTTCCTCGCATTCCGGTGCCCATTCAGAAGCAGATCGAGAAGAAGATCGAGCAGTACTGTCGGGAGCAGGGTCTGACCGTCAGCCAGCTGAGTTCGGGCCGAGCGGCGGCTGGTCAGGGCGCGGGTACCGGAGCCGCCGGTCAGGATGGGGACTACCAGGAGTACCAGGAGGCAGGCGCGGATCGCGGGAGCGGCAGCGGTCGTGGCGGGAATGCCATACCGGGCTCTGGATCGCGATCCAATGCTTACCCACCGGCGAATAACTACCGCAACGATCATGATGATCGTGATTACTATGCCGCTTCCTCGGGCTCTTCCTATGCCCGCGGCGGTCGAGGTGGTGGCTACGAGGATTACCCGCCGCCGCTGCCGCCACAAATGGCTTACGGCGAGCGGGAAAGGGAACGGGATCGCGAGCGCGAGAAGGAGAAGGACTACGACCGCCATCGCAGCAAGCACAAGAAGAAGCACAAGCACAAAAAGAGTTCGCGCAGCCGCAGCAGAAGCCCCAGCCGGAGTCACCATCGTTCCGAGCGGCACGAACGTAAACGCGACGGCGGCTACGAGCGAAGTGGCAAGAGCCGGCACAACGAGCACTACGAGGAGCGGGAGCGACGTCACCGGTGAAGACCGATCCAACACACTCACCCACACCACCCACCAAAAGCAAACCACTTCTGCTACTTTGCCTGTTCTGCTACTAACACAATTTGTTTTCACCATAGCACTACCACTTTTTTTTTACCAATTGTCAAGCCCTTTCAACTATTTGGAAGCCGCGCACGTCGACGAGCTTCTTACTCAGGTTAAACACTCCCCGGAAGCCCCCGAAATACTAACACTTAAACTAGACACAATCACCCAACTCAGACACAGCAGCAAGGCTATATATTTGTAATTGTGACTACATTATGCTAATAAATTAGTTTCCAAGTTGTGTTTTATGCAAATAAAGTCAAAAATAATTTGTTTAAAATGGTTGTTGTGTGTGCTGTATTTGAGTAATTTGAATTCGTTAATAACAAGGACAGAAAAGGGTAATTTTAACCATGGTTTCTGAATTTTCTTTAAAATGTGTTATCAACGACTTTTTTAAAAAGGGTGAAACAGCAAGCTATATCCCTTTAGTCCTCATTTTCGCTATACATTTGCATATTTTGAGGCTGCTTGAAAATATGTAGCTTCAAATTATGTATATCAAATAATCTATTTATCAGCAAATATGAAAAAATGTTTCTGGCTTCTTAAGATAGGATCGGGTATTATTGTATTTAGTCTAATATAACTTTTAACCTTAGACCATAAAACAATTGTAAATGTGTGTGAAATTATTTGTGAGTGATTCCTTCTTGGTGGCCGGGGTTTCCAGCCCATAGGATGCACAGTTCCCTGATAAGTAAAACATATAAACTGTAATAGATAAAAGGTCGTTTCGATTGCACTTGTATTTGTTTTTAGATGTCCTAATGAAGGTTCCTTTTTGGGTGGCATTTATAAAATGAAAAAATCTATGAAAATAATTGGATGTTTTATAGAACCCAATGATTTGTAATATCAGCACTATGCCTTTCAAACTTTAATAGGTATAATGGCTATCCTGCTCAAAACTAGAAGCTTGTTAAGAGGCTTGTTTTGCGAGCTTTGAATCAAGCGCTGAATTATAATCGCCAGTGGTGCGCGGATTATTGGCAGCTCGGATCGGTCAGGTGCGACAGCCGAGAGAGGTGAGGCGGCCAAGCCTCCTGTCCGCCAGAGCCGCCGAAATTCGAATTTCAGTTAGTGTGCAACGCCTGCGCCGAGTTGTCGCCTCTCGCGCCGACCGTTACAAAAACAAAACTGAAGAGGCAAATAAGAAAAAAAAAGAAAAAGCGCCGGGCGAACGGATAGTCGAAAAGCGAACAGGCGAACCAACTGTAATTAGCATGTGCCAGCACCATTAACAGCGCCACTAAAGCCACCAGATCCGAACCATAATCCAATTCAAGCCCCTGCCAGCACACATACATACTTAAACGATATCATATCAATGTCAGGCCAAAAAAAAAAAAAAAAAAACCGAAACAAAAACAAAACCAAGACAAGCCGGAGTGAATGAAATGGCAATAGAGCGAACAACAGTAAACGGCACACAATTCACGCGTGTGCGAATGCGCGCGACAAATGGCCCGTTTTGACCATTTTGGGAAAACGGGGTAGTATGCGTGTGTGTGTGTTTATGAGTGCCTATGTGTACCGAAGTGCGTGTGTGTGCTTATGGCCATAAAACATGGATAGCGCCCAAAAGCAAATGTGCAAAGTTTATGGCTGGGCCAGCACCTTTTCTCCGCTCTCTGTTCTTCTCTTCTCCTCTCTGCGTGCAAGCACGATCTCAGATAGTGATGGCGGTTTTTTTTGGGATTAAATATCTGCTTTTGGCGGAAACTGAAATTAAAAATATCTTACTAATAGCTTTATCCAAAAAAAATAAAGAAAAACCAAAGTGAACGCCATTGTTGAGCTCTATCCTTAGATGTCCCTTATAGCTTTTCAAAAAGTGTTGCATACATCTGGGCCAAAATTTCAAATATTTAAATATACATCCAGAAAACAAAATGAATGGGAACTTTTTAAACAAAAAGAAACAGATTTTGAAAACCTAAGACCGAAATTAATCATATTTTTTGTTTTTTAACTGCAAAATCATAAAAATTAACCACTTTAAAAGCCCTTAGATCGGCAGGTTATGGACTTATGTACTATTATGTATTATTTACTAGATTATTAATCAGAAAACTTCTATCATAAAACTGAGGTTGCATTTCAATATGCGTTTATCATTTATATTTATAAATAGATCGTTGCCTTTGTGAAATAATAAATGCCACTTGGTGTACGTGTCGTATGAGTAATATTTAAATGCGCTTTAAAATTAAAAAGTACAATGGTTTTTGCTTTAAATATATATATCACTCAATAGTTAAAGATACGGGCAGTTCGATTTTCACATTTTATTGCTGTATTTTGTTAGAAAATATATGAATCATACGCAGTGTAGGCTTTGTGTAAAGTAAGCCGTTACGGGGCGTATGAGTAATTTTTTGGGAATTTTTGAAGTCTACAATAAATCAATGTGTCCCAATTTTTTAAAATTGTAATTAAGATAAATATTGGTTAGGGGATATTCCTAGGGTACATTTTTTAGAAAGTGACAGTAATTTAGTTGTTAGAAATACATTATAGATACGAAAACGATAGTATAGAATGAAATATAGAAACCTCTGAAATAAATCAATATATTATACTACAATATAGTCTGGAAAAAAGCTGACCTGGTAGCTCTGATCTTTGAGAGGCTCTGCGAGCTTTTTCCAAGCTTCGGAATCTCGATTTCGGTCAGTGGGGCAAAAGCGTGGAGCGTTACGAAGGGGCTTTCGGAGTGCGAGAATGCAACTGGTCATTATCCTTCACTATTTTTATTTGCGCTCACCTTTTTATTTCTGTTCAGTTGTGGTTTTTGTATTTTGTTGTTGGTTTTTTTTTAGCCACTCTCGTCTCTCGTCAAATGCATTGACGTAATTGCCCGAGCGCAAAACTTAGCCGTATATCGATCTCGATCGCAGGTGTGTAAACCTAAAGTGGTTTTGATTTCACAACCGCAGAAGAGCTGGGGGGTGTCTTACTTTAAGCTGTTACCACGTCATTCCGCCGGTGCCTATCAGCGTCAGCAACTAGCGTCCGTGCGTCTTGTCAGTCAACGACGAAAAAAAAAGAAATACAAATCATATATGTGTATATAAAAAAAATATAAACGAAAAAAAAACCGAGAAACAACAACGCACACAGAGCCAGAACAAAAAACGACAGAAAATCACATAAAACAATAAAAAAAATTGCATTTTTAATTGCCCCTTGTTATTTATACCGCATGCGATGGCCGAAGGGGAATGGCGGGCGGATTCGTTCGGGGGTGCGGTAAGGAGTTGAGTAATCACCGCGCCCTTGTCTACTTGGTAATCATACCCCCCTCCACCCCCTCGCTGTCTGCCATCTCTGTCTGAGCTGTTGCGTCTGCGTTGTTCGCCGTCCACTGACGTCATTGCCGCTGGCGTTTTGGACAAAGTGCGATGTCGCACCGTGGGTCACCCATCATCATCATCGTTATAAACATTATATGGCCATCATATCATCATCATCCTCATTGTCGCAGCACCGTGGAGTGGGTGGGGATTTCGCAAGTAGTGAATCACGTGCTATCATAGAGATTCCGGGCATACCAAAAAAAAAAGAAAACACCTGACCAGATAATAATTGTTGGCCTATAGTCAATGAACCTGTCGACGGGAAATTGGGTTTCCCGTCCTTTTTTTTATGTGTTTATGTTGCGGCAAAGTACCATAAAAGATTAATTTCCTATAGCGTTCGTCAACTGTTGCCCAAGAACAACTTTAAGAGACCATGCGACTTACAATTTAATCGGTCACTTATTTAACGTACGTATACATATATTGTATTTATTGCAACTCATAAAAATTTTGCAATTTGCAACGGAATTTCTGCAACTACAATCAGTTTTGACGTAGGACGTTGGTTTGTGGTTGAGCTATACGTACTCAAATATTTCGTAAGTCATGTACGCAAGTGGTTTTACTATAGTGGACCGTTCCGGGTTTTATTTCCATTAAATTTTAATTGAAATTATTACGTTTGTTTATTTTAGAAAAATCAGAATGAATAACTGCGGAAGGGCTATTCTCAAGAAATTTAAATGTTAATAGCCACAATATTATTATATACATACGTCATTAGGTCATTAACTGAAAACGGTGTCTGTGAATTTTTGTATAAACAAATATTGTTATAATAAGTCTTGGAGTTCTTATATTTGGTAGTCGTTTACCGAATTTGCTACTTATATATAACTTATCTCACTATCTGCCTACAGTCAATATTTAATTTAAGGCCTTTGTGTTATTTGTTGTAGATAAATTTTAAAAGGAAGGTAGCTTAATGGACAGCTTCAGTTCAAATAAAACTAACAGTTTTGTGTCATTAATAACAAAACACGTAAACGTGAAATTCTGAATGAAATTAGTTAGCGACTTTAAAACTGGTTACATTGACGTAAATTAGAAAGTGTCGAGATAAAAATAGTCTCTAATATCAACTATTTAGAATTCTAAGTAATTTCCCATTTTGCCCCATAAAATATTTATTTGATTTCTGGGAAATATTCGTGTTTTTGAATTCACTCCGGAGCGATAAATCAACGTTTTGTCCCATTGTGCGTCAGTGTCGGTGCTTGTGGAATTTTGTGGTGGTGTAAGTGTGCTGGTGGTGCTTTATTGCATTGAGTCGCATCGCCTGTCAGTCTGTCATTGTGTGTGCTGGTGTGCGTGTGTACGTGCGGGATCATTGCACATTGCGTCAACGTTTCAAGATCACAATTACAATTACCCCGCAGTAGCAGTTGCAGTAGCTGTAGCACCAACCAACTAAATTACGAGAACAGTGGCAAAAGCAATCGACCAACCGACAAAAAAAAAGAAAATAAACTAAAAAAACAACAGAAAACTATCAACAATAATAAGCCCACCCGCAACAGCTGCTCTTCTCCGTCTGTCTCTTTACCTCCCTCGCCCCACACACATACACACACACACACACTCAACACTCGACTCCTCTACTCTTCTCCACCTCTCTCCTCTCCGCTCAATTCTTTGGCCCCCGCTCTTCGAGATTCCTCTCCGCCTCCCCTCTCTGGAAACGGGCAGAGCTGCAGAGCCCCAGAAAGCGATTTCAGTTCAGCGACGGCAGCGCACAGGTGCCATTCGGAAAGTGCGGACGTAGAATGTTTGCCGGGGACTCCACGGTCAGATTTCACCTCTAGCTCCGCTGGAATTCGGTCTTGGCAGTGGCGTCAGTGACGAGTTTTGACGGGATCTCAGCCGCACATCGTTCTTCCCGCCTATTAACCACCTACTTCACTAACTTTTTCCTTTCAATAATCCCTATAAACGAAGATCATTCTTTTATACTCCTTTCCACTAATAAATTTCTCCAAAACCTTACTTTTGTTTTTATGAGGTCTACAGTTTTACATAGTTCACCAAATTCCTAATATTTCATACACACTGCTTTCACCCTAATTAGTAAGTACCTTTCCGTTAAAAGCCACTTCTTATTTTCTGTTTCAGTTCTTAGTAATTTCATCTTTATTTTTCTAAATATTTTTGGTGTTCTCTTTCCCCATCAAAATTTTATCAATACTTGAATACATTTTTTTAATCGTATCCTAAGTTTTTCCAAAGCTTGGCTTTCTTTTGTAAAACTATTATTACATTTCTTTTAATTTTCTTGAACGCTACTCAATATGTGCTAATTAATATTTTACTATTCACCGTTGCACTTTACATTTCTTAAAAATAACTCATGTCGGCTCTTACTCTTTTTCAAGAACATCTTTATTTGTAATTGTCTTCCCTTAAAAATACCTGTGACCAAGTTCCTTCTTGTCCAACACCTGTTCTCTGTTCCCTCTTTACCAAGACCTTCTAACACCCCTAACACCCCCTTTTTCCAAAAGTTTCCTCTCCACTTTCCCTTGATCTCCGCTTTATCCATGTGAGATGAGTGCGTGCGACGGTTCGGGAACGGTTTCGCGAACGTCTGACGCCTCCGCTTTTCAATTCGATGTCATGCCAAAGATAACGACGCCGCCGTCGACGGTGACGCCTACGCCGACGCTGACGTCGACGCCGACGTCGATGCTTACTTCGGCCGCGCAGGCGACGGTGACGGTGACGGCGAAAACGGCAAAAACGACAATAACGAAAACGACGACAACGGTTAAAATTGAAAATAAATGGCCGGCGGCAGAGGCAACGGCGTTCAGTTATCAGCGAGCAGCGGAGCAGATTGGAGCTAAAACGACACCACCCACAACTGTCCAACGGGAAACTGGAATAAACGAGATCTGCACTGGTAATCCATGTGAAGAACTGTCCAGCAAGTTGGCCCTTCGCAAGGCGCAATTGAAAGCGAACTTTTTCGGCGAAAGAGAAAGTACCAAAGAGAGTACTGCAAGAAACGGAAGTAGTAAACCGGAGAGAACCCCACACTTCACCGCTTACCGCACTGCTTACCCCAGCTGCAAGACGGAAAAAGGCAAGCCGGTGCAACAGCTGATCGATCAGTTCCAGGCCATGATTGTCCAACAGCAGCAGCAACAGCTGACCGGCGAGCGGGAGGCCAAGACACTGACCTCCAATTCGGACGAGGGATGCAACGTGACCGGTGGGGGACTGAGTCCCTACAGCAGCGACAACGAGGACAGTGGCAACCTGTCGCCGCGCCAGCGGAAGCTGAAGGTCACACGCTGTGCCAGCAGTGATTCCGCCCTCGGCTTGGAGGTCGACGATGGCGGCATGGACGTGGTGCTACCCCCGCAGCGAAGGATGACCCTCACCGTCACCGACTTGCCCCTTCGGCCGGCTTTACTGCCCCTGGCAGAACCCACCGCTCTGGCCGACTCACCTTTGACCTCGCCAACGGGCGGAGGCGGTACCGCCGGTGGAACGGTGGTGGGTGTACCCACCAAGGTGCTGCTCGAGGAGCGAGTGGTCGCCGCACCGGGATCGCGACGCGAATCCACCCAGAGCTCCTACAGCGAACTGGGGGGCAGTGGATTTCCGCTGGGAGTGCGCTATGTGCGCACACCCTCCGTGGTGGTCAGCGATTACTCGGACGACATTACCGCCTGCGGGATTAGCATGGAGGAGATGGAGTACTTTCGCCTGCAGCGGGCACGTGGCCAGCGGCGCTGTTCCCTGGAAGCGGGAGGTGCAGGAGGAGGCATCGGCGGAGGAGGTGGAGCCCATGGACACGGGGGAGGAGCACATGGACACGGACACGGCGGATCGGCAATGGCGCCCGGGTGCGGCAAGGACGAAGGCCAGTCGGATGTCAGTGCGGCCAGCAGTTGCAGCAACCTCTACTACTGCGGCTCCACCATTTCCGCCTTGGATGGGGGCGAGTGCATTGTGAACGGCGTTCGCGTCGCATTGGCCAGGAAGAGCAGCACGCAGAGCAGCAGTCTCAGCGGCGAGGAGGAGGAGGAGGAGGATCTAGAAGACGAGGATCTAGAGGAGCACGATCCCGATATGGAGGATCGCGACGTGGAGGATCTCCTGCCGGAGGACTACGAGCGGGGGGAGCGGGAGCGGGAGCGGCAGATCAGCGAGCTCCTGGCCGCCACGCAGCTGGGCGATCGTCAGCGGGATCGCTCCAAGAAGGTAGGCGCCCGCAATGACGTCACAAACCAGGGAAATCTCAAACTAGACTAAAGAAAAAAAAACTCGGGGTGGCAAATTGAACGGTACAGAAGAAGAGGAAGAAGAAGAAAGAGTAGAAGGAGGAGACGAAGAGGAAGAGCAGCCTAGTAAATTTAATATTAACTATTTTTTTTTTTTTTTATTATTTGTTATTGCTCGTGGCATAAAAGAGCAGCAGTGAATGAGGGCAGGTCTGAATGGCAGCGAAAGGAGATAAGCAAGCAAGCTGGTGCATATACACTGGGAGAAAGTAGTTAGTCGCAAGTTAGATAAAAATAGTTACTGTTTTCTAATTGAATAAGTGTGCAAACATCTTCAAATCCAAAAGCCTTTTATGTTGCTTCCGAGCAGTATTATATCCTAATTAAAGAGCATAATTAAGTTTTTTAACGGCAAGACCATTATAAAAAAACAAAGACTATAATAATAAGACTTATAAAATACACTAAATATAAAACATAAAGAAACTCTTTTGTGTTACTGACTTTGTGAAAGTACTTTAACTTGAAAACTGGCTTTGAGAATTTCAAAAAATTTTCTTGAAGAAGTTCACAAAAGTTCCATCTTGTTCTAAAGATGAACTTATAAAAGACAGTTATTTTCAGCCTTGATCTTGCTATAATCTATATATAATCTGTATTAAAAATGGTTCTAGAGATGGAGTAATAATAAAGTTATTTTCCACCTTGACATCCTTTGTTCTTACCATAATTCCAACACTTAAAGAGGGGTAATCCCCTCGGCTTACGTTTTTTCCCACCGTGTATATGCAGGTCTTTTTGCGAGTGTGTGCGTGCGTTAGCTTAAAAGGCTGTTAATTAATTTGATTTTTATCTTATCACAGAAATGAGGTTCTGTTGCTCGGAGAAGTCTTTTTTGTACTCCCCGCGTTCCGTTTGCTATTATTATAATATTTTTTTTTCTGTGGCTTTCGTGTGTGAATGAAAACGGTATGGTTGATGTTGAAAAATAAGGGGTGCCTTGATAAAAAAAAAAGAACAGACAAAAAATATCACCAAAAAAACGAAACCGAAAACCTCGGCTCGGTTCGTTCATTTCATTTTTTTTATCTAGAACTGGAACAACATCAACACACAGCGACAGCGACGACAAAGCTTATCTTAGTTAACTGTATATTGTATTATAGATAAATATTATGTACATATATAAGCCAGCACATATTTACCTTTATATAATGGCATCTTCCTTTTTTTTCTGGTCGACAGACGGCAGAAAGTTTGTAAAGCAAATAAAAGTATTAGAAACCGAATTTTCGGAGTCATGATAACGATAATAAAGCATTCCACCTGGATATGTCGCCGTCTATATGTATGTATGCAAGAGATATATGTGTATGTGTTAGTGTGTGTGTTGTTTACCTGTGTGTGCGTGTGTGTATTTGGTTAATAATGTTACGCGCTTATCAAGCGGGTTTATCTGCCTGGCATTTATATAGTATACGTGAATGCCCTCGCCGCCGACAAAAGCAATAATCGGAGGGATTCCAGCAAAAAAAAAACCAAAAAAAGAAAAAAAAAAAACAATGGTCTGCTCTTCTTTTTTAACCCACGAGGGTGGAGTGTGCTTAATGGGAGACACATGGCTATATCCGCGATGATCCCATCCGTCGGTCTAAGTCAATTGTACATAGAATGCTCTTCGCCTTTTACACGACCGACTTTTCTTCTTCGTTTTTTTTTTTTTTTTTGACGGGGGATGAGCGATAAGCGATCTTTCGCGATATCACGCATACGTCACCGTTCCCATTAAGACCCGCATATATGTACATGTTTATATGCGATTATATGAGACACGAGCCCTCGAGTCCCGAGGGGATTACTCCATAAGTCACGGGAATCGTGTTGATAAACAACCTGAGATGTAGAAATTTCTGCAAGCATACCATATTCTAGTGCTATCTCGCATTTAATTACGTTTTGGCTCTTAGCCATAATCTTTATTGCCATCGAAATTTGCTAGAACCAACTGGAAGTGCCATTCACGAAAGGATCTATTGATCATTTTGTTGATGACCCAGTTTTCATTCTCCTTTGATTTTCAGTTTCAATCGCATTTACATACACTTCTTATTCAACCTCCACTTTTCGCTGGGATAAACTCGTGTTTTATTAGCATGTCATTACAGATTTCCGAGCCATTTGAATACGATTCTTATTCAACTTCCTCCTTTGCTTTTGATTTTGCTTAAGATCGTGTATGCGTTGACCTTTTGCTTTACAAATTTATTTCGAAATTAAAAGTAGGTAATTAAAATGACTGCTTGTGGTTTCTAATAATATTTTACGCATTAGAAATGCCTTCACTTTTTGCTTTATTTACTGATTATGCTTATTTATATTTTTTAAATGAATGGTTTATTATAAAAGTTAATTTCCTATCAAAGTATTTATATATTTTTTTTATTTGTAGAACGAAACAATTTAAAATATATATTATATGTTTTCATATTTATATTTACTTGGCTTACTGTCTTGTTTACAAAGTTAGTTTCTGTTTATGCTTAAACAATATACAAAGCTTACTTAATTATTTAGTCATTAAAGTCTTACATCAGCCGATTAGGTTTTACTTTGTTTTCGTGTACATGATCGCTGAAGTCTCAAATTAAATTCCAATTACATTGCCATATGCGAATGGATTTTCCAATCACTTGAGTGCTTCCCCGTCACAACATCGAGTTTCATTCAGTTAAACAGACGTAGAAGTCGGGGCATTATCCGACATATGGGGACATATCAGGGGCGTAGCTACCGCCGTATATGCCGTATCAATTATACGGGGCCCCCGGGGCCAAGGGGGCCCCCAAAGTGTGTAAGAGTGAATATTTAAAATTTGATTTTTATTTGTAAAATGGGTAAATAATGTGATAAATAAATATTTCTTCTCACAATATTTTTTATACCCTTGCAGAGCAAAAGGGTATTATAATTTCAGTCAGAAGTTTGCAACGCAGTGAAGGAGACACCTCAGACCCCATAAAGTATATATATTCTTGATCAGCATCACGAGAAGAATCAGAATACGTCTGTACGTCTGTCCGTCTGTCTGTTTCTATTTAAAGTAGTCTCTCAGTTTTAAAGCTATCTTGCTGAAACTTTCCCAAAAGGTGTGTAGTTACCGCACGCAGTATATAAGTTGAAACGGGCCGGATCGGCCGACTATATCGAATAGCTCCCATACGAGAGAATGAAATAAAAAATTCTCAGACCGTTGTTTTTGATCAGATCGACTTGATTTCTTCAAGATGGCGTTTTCTAACTGTTTTTGAATTTCGGATTAAATTTGATCAAAATCGGATAACTCTATCATATAGCTGTCATAGGAAAGATCGAAAAATATATATAGAATTAATGGAAATAAATTGATAACATCGTTGTATTTATCCCACAAGCATGATTTTTTGAATATCAAGTTTTTAAAAACTCTTATATTGAGAAAAAAGTTTCATAAAAATCGGACAACTATATCTTATAGCTGCCAGAGGAAAGATCGAAAAATCTATATAGAAATAACGGAAATAAAATTGTAACATCGTTGTTTTTCATCAGACAACCATGATTTTTGGAATATAGAGTTTTCTAACGACTCTCGAATTAAATTTCATCAAAATCGGACGAGTATATCATATAGCCGTCATTTGAACAATAGTCGAAAATATAGAAAATGAATAGAAAAATCGTCTTAGCTTCGATGTTATGTATTTTTTCGAAATATTTGATGACTGCAATGGTATAAAAGCTTCGGTTTGCCGAAGCTAGCTTCCTTTCTTGTTTTCTTTTGCGAAAAATTTTTACCTCCATATAAGGGCCCCCAAAAATTTTTTATACGGGGCCCCGACAAGGCACGCTACGCCACTGGGACATATATAGTATGATCATAGGCCACATGATGCTGGTGGTTGGGTGTTTGTTACTTTCCGCCCGATATCTCCAGTGTTTGGCATTCTTGGGACCCCCATTTCCTGGTATTCTATCCTACTCACCAACAGCCGCCTGTCACCGTCCTCTTATCACGTTGTCATTATTGTCTCCCCGCAAAAAGGGGGGCGTGTGTAGGGGGGAAGGGGGAGGGGAAGGGGTAGGGGTTGGGGTTATGAAAACCCCGCGGGATGGGATCTTGTTTAGTTACTCTTCGCATTCCACTTACGGTACGGCTTGTTGTTATTTTTATAACCTCGCTGGGTAAATTAGCTTCAGTTGGAAGTTTGCAATTCAGTTGACAAGCAACAACAAGTATTTAAAACTATGGAACTGAAATGAATAAAAGTTATGGTATATTGGTAATAAAATAAATTAAGAAAGCATACAAAATGTAGTATTTATATAAAACACTGATCGCCAATTAAAAAAATGAATTTAAATATTTCGAAAACTCAGATAACTTTATCATAAATGTACCATGGTACCAGGGTGAAGTAATAGAAAATTCATAGATACATCACTACGTTCTTTAAAATATCTTGAAGTATGTTATAGATAATACAACAAAATCACGAATATTGTTGTATCTTATCATTATCTTATACAAATAACAAACTGCCCGAAGGAAAAATCTTGTAACAAAGAACGTTGAGTGATAAGAGTAATCCCTATTTTAGATTTTAACCTTATCTGCAAGGGTATCAATATTTCGGTGTTTGGAAGCCTGCTTTCATTCTAGTTTTTCTTTGGGCTTGGGATCTGAGTTCTGAATTCTGAATTCTGAGGACTGGGTACTAAGAACCAAGCACTGAGAACTGAGAACTGAGGACTGAAGGCCCCCGAGGCTGTCTTCGTATTGTTTTGTCATTTGTGGTGGGCAACGGACACTGCGGCGTGGGCTTCATAGAAATGCCTTTTGGTTTGCTTACTTAAGAGATAAAACCCTCGTGTGGGTGTGGGTGCCCCAAAGTCACCGACAATCGCCATTTGGTCCGCTGACGTCGTTGTGACGTCACTGGG